CGCTACGTACCGGAATGTGAATCCACCACATTTATCGCGAACGAAAAGGTTATATTTTGGCTTTGTGATATCCATAATTACAAATAGATATTTCTGGTTGCAGGTCAAAAATTTGCCTGGGCTAGGATACCATACACATGAAAAACTAATCAAAGAGTTTGGTAAGAAACAAAATTTTTTGCAATTCTTTTTTACATTTAAGATACTTCATTTGTGAATGGGTGCGTCACCTAGCAGCAGAACTCTACTCAGAGTAGGAATGCAACTGCTAACACTCGTGGAATGAGAGGCAGATATTGAGCTGTTTGTGAAACAGGTGGCTCAGGTTCAGGTTCATAAATATTAAGGTGCCCGAGAAGTTTTGAGATTACTCAAATTTCATTTTGAATATCAACAAACAGTAACTACAGTCAGATATGTTATCAGTAATCACAGCCTTTCTTCGTGGATGGGGCAGTCGATGGATTTCTTTGCTCCAAAGTCGAAGGAAGCGATTACGATAAAAAAAGGGAAGCATATGCGCCACACGAAGCAGTTACTTGGCTGCCAAGGAAGCGAGTGTGGCGCTTTCACGACGAAAGGTGCGCTGGTTGCTGAGCAGGACTTCGAAAGCACTCCGCCCCAAAAGCGATCCGCCCACTAGTTAGTTGGTGATTTGGACGAGCTGTGTTGCCAGCAGCGGCACAACTGGAGCAACTCGACTGGAGCATGGTTTGGCATGGTGCCACCAAACGCGTTGCGGTGAACTCGTCCATACGTCCGCTCTTAGCGCTGCCCGTCCGTGAGCGAAAATCAACGGCCACACAAGGGGTCCCGTTTTGCGTTTTTTGGAGGAATTTCTCTGGATTTCTTGCCGTTGGTGTGCCGCTGAGCACCCCCACGTCCCACGCACATCCCTTCCAGAACATATCGTAATCGCTCAAGAGTCTCGGAAGGTCATGAACTATGTATATTACATCTCAAAGAGTCTCAAAACTTCTTGGACACCCAAGTGAAATAAGTCCAACGTCTGGTATCTCAAAATGGTCAAGTAGTCGGGTGAGAACATGAAAACTATCATATTCCAAACTGTTGCAACATAGTGCGATAAAGTTCACATTCTACAAACTGGACGTAATGCCTGGCTTTCGTCTAACAAACAGGCTTTGAACTGGTGCCAAATGGAAAATGTTGTGATGGAGATTTATCGTATGCGATGTATTTCGTATATCAGGAATAGCTCGAAAATTTTCCATACACACTTAACATTTTTCTCTTGTGGTATTGAGTTTTGAAAAAAATTGTGAGAAAGCAGATAATGAGTTCTGGGCTCTTTTTACTTTCATATCATACGAAATTTTTTGAAACATTATTAACCGCCATGCAACTTCGGTAAATACCATCATTTTGCTCAATCAGCCAATACAAGCTCTTTGGTGGTATAAAAATAAAAAAATTTGCTTCACAGAATGAAATATGGTTATCATATGCACAGTTGCATCTAGCTCGTTTCCTAACAGAAGGTTGCTTTTCGAATTCGTACTGGAAGGAGAATTTCTAAAATTTTTTATTGGTGCAGGTATCATTCTATTTCTGATCTCTCATTTGAATGAAATTTTTTGTTAGGTCGTGAAGAAAGTTCTTGCGCTTTTTGGTGTTCCATTTATAAACGCTTTATTTTGTTGCACCTTCCAAGCAAGGAGTTTTTCTTGTCCTATCTGACAGTGGGATCCGCTTTGTTCTTTATCATTTGGTTAACACTTTTTGAAGTCCTGAATACGGCATACTCGAAGAGCAGATTTGCATGATTTTCTTTTTCTAGCTGAAAAAGGCCTGTAGCGAGCGGAAGTATTAGGTTGTCTCATAAGTAGTGGCGCATTTTTTCAAACGGAAATTTTTCTGTGACTCCGAAATTTTTTTTGTGAACCTCTAATGTTTTACAATGTTTCATATACCATTCGATAGGAAATTATCTGCTCTACAAGATGGTTCAATCCGCTTCGGAAAATATTCGTACTTTTTTTGAATTACAGGCTTGCAAAGAAGGAGCTCCGGTCGGACGAAATTTTGCCAAACCGACAGCTGGCCCTAACCCTGCTTCCCCTAGGGACGTAATAACTTCGTATATCTATTAATCACTGACATCTTCTCCGCGTTACAGTATGTCAACAAGTCGAGTCGCTCCTTTTCCAGGATGGATTTTTCCTCCAAAACTCGACGGCCAAGCACCAACTATTGGAATTTAGCCCAAAAAATTTTTTTAGCCGAGACATTAAAAAATTAGTGGAATGTTAAGAGCAAGTCATGTCTAGTTTGAGAATGTATGCCTGATTGATTCTCTCTCCTTTTCAAGGAGAATTTTTTCAAAAGTAATGCGGTCATTCTCGTGGAGTGAACACCTTATCACGCAGGCCTGAAATTCGGACCAATTATGGCCCGAATAACGCGGAGAAGGTACTCTCGAATGATATATCACTTGTTATTAAAGCGATGATGTTCTAGAGGAAAAATTTCAATTTAAAAATCATTATGTGTTATGAAAAACCGAGTCTGAAAAAAAGCACTGCAAGACTTTCACTACAACCAAAACAGCGGAACGGTCAGAAGATGTCATGAGTAAGTGGATGGTACACCCTTGATTGATTTCCCTAGGGGAAAGTAGGGTTAGGGCCAGCTGTCGGTTTGGCAAAACTTCGTCTACCGGCGCTCCTTCTTTGCAAGCCTGGAATTCAAACAAAGTACAATATTTTCCGAAGCGGATTGAACCATCTTGTAGAGCAGATAATTTCCTATCGAATGGTATATGAAACATTGTAAAACATTAGAGGTTCACAAGAAAAATTTCCGTTTGAAAAAATGCGCCACTACTTATGAGACAACAAAATAGTGTCGCTTTTTTTCAACCAAAAAATTTCCATCTAAATCCCCATGCTTTTACAGCGAGTCATATACCATTCGAAAGAGAATTGTCTGCTCTACAAGATGTGATGTTCCTCTTCCACCTCTGTTTCAAGGTTTTCAAATTTTAGGCCTGCGAAATGGGAGGTCCAGCCGACAAAAATTGACCAAACCGACAACTATCTCTAACTTTATCTTCCCTTGAGAGAAATCAATCAATACTGTACCCTCTACTTATGCATGACCTCTTCCTAAACATTACACTATTAGGTTTCCCAACAAGTCGCTCATTCCCCAAGTCGCGTCATTCCATTTCCAGACCTGGTTTTTCAACCAGAACTCGACGGTCAAGCACCATTACCTGAGATCGAGGTCGAAATTTTTTTATAGCCGAGACATTGAAAAACTAGTAGAATTCAAAGAACAAGTCATGATAAGGAATGTACGCCTGGTTGATTTTCTCATCTCCTCAAGGATAATTTTTTCAAAGAAATGTCACTTTTGTGGACAAAGCACCTTACTCCTAAACTAAAATTCGAGCTAATTCCTAACAAACATCAAAACAAAACAAATGAGCGAATAGAGCAGAAGAAGTGCTCACAAAAGATACACCAGTTGATATAAAACAATAGCGTTTCAGAGGAAGAATTTCAATTTGAAAATTGCCATGGCTTATCGGTCGGCCAATTCGAAAAGAAACAGGGCAAACCTTTTTCGGCAACCTAAGGGTGGAATGTTCAGAAGAGGTCATGAGTAAGTAGAGGGTACATCATTGATTGATTTCTCCGCAGGGAAATAAAGTTAGAGCTAGTTGTCGGTTTGGTCAATTTTTGTCGGCGGGACCTCCCATTTCGCAGGCCTAAAATTTGAAAACCTTGGAACATAGATGGAAGAAGAACACGATATCTTTGTAGAGCAGACAATTCTCTTTCGAATGGTATATGACTCGATGTAAAAGCATGGGATTCAGATGAAAAATTTTTGGTTGAAAAAAAGCGACACTATTTATGAGACAACTATATAATAGATTAAAGTATTTGCAGATGCTAGTTGAAATTCACAATACGATGGTCTGGAACAATCGTTGAAAAAGTTTTTGTAACGATAGTGAGAGCACTGAAAATAATGAGGGTGGTGGTCGGATATTAGCCAATGGCAACCATTAGCCAAAAGTTCTGGTTGAAGCACGCTTGCTCAAAACTAGCGAAGATTCTTAGTAAAGTGATCGCAATCGCTCTATGGCTTCCTGCTATACGGAACGAGCTGGAAAGTCCAAAAAATTCAATTAGAGTGTGCCGCGACAACTCTTCACTTTGAAGGGTCGCCCCCCAATTTCTAATATGTTTCATGCAATTGATGCAATGAAAACGACCTTCATTGTACGAAACACATTTGCGACATGCGATAAAGAGCAGATTCTTTTGCTACAGCACCTTTGCTGGCGAATGGATCCATCGCAATCTGGCTCCAAACTTGCAAAAATGAAACTATTCAAGGAAGGTTGAGGTGACTTCCATAAGGTCAGCGGCTTGTCTAGCTTTCGTAACCAGGTGTAGTTCCATGTGGGAATCGTATAAGAACATATCTCAAAATAATCCTAGAATTCTAGTACATTCTCCCAGCATTCTTCGTAACAAAGGAACAGACTCATCCCTGACGGTTAGCTCGGACGCACATATCACAACCAACCTTGCAGAAGTTGAACCAGCTGGGCTACAAATTGGTCCTGCGACCATCTTACTCGGCAGACCTTTTGCCTATAACATGTCACTTTTCCGATGACCTGGATAACTTCTTCGAAGAGTTATGCTTCGAAAACCAACATGGTGCTGAAACGGTTTGCCGCCGGAATCATCGTTTCTAGAGCTCCAGTATTCTGCGCGACCGGGCTAATTCAATCCGTTTCTTATAAGAAGCTATGGATTCTAATAGTTTGAACTTCAATCAAAAATGTTTTGAATGAGCCGAGATACATGCATTTGAAATCAAGGTCGAAAAGCGCAAGAACTTTCTTCACGACCTAATATTTCATCCAAAATTTTAATGTTATAGAGAATCATTACGCGGGTGTTCAGACAGACATAAATTCGCAGTGCATTTGGTGTTGAGCAGTTCCAGGTTTAATGGATAGATGCAGTGATTTGCAAGCTATACCACAAAGTGAATTGGAACGCGTACTTGGAAAGAAAGTTGGTGATCAGGTAAGAGTTGTGACGTTGAATCCATGCAAAATGTTTGTTAACAATTTCATTTTAGCTGTATAAACTATGTCGAGGTCTGGATGATGGCAAGAACTTCATAGCCAGTACTATTCGCAAGAGCGTATCTTGTGATATCAATTATGGGATTCGATTCACGAAGGTCATTTTTGGATACATAAAGCCGTAGTCGGAGGATCACGAGGTGAGAGTGTGGTGAACTGTGAGCCCGCGGCGCCTGTCGGCGTCCATCTTGGGATGCCGCAAAATGACAGTGAACTTAGGTGAGAAAATGCTCTCAATTGAGGAAGTCAGCTGAAGAGAATAGGCAGGATTGCTCTTTTGAAGTGATTTAACTTGCGTTTCAAGGCAAATGATTTTTGATGTGAGAAGAAAGAAAAGATTGTTTATTCATGCACAAATACACCGTATTCTGAATACTGGATACTCGAATCTGTACCGTTTTGAACGACTGGGTGCGCAGGGTAAGAAATAGAATTTTAAATACACTTCAAATGGTATTTGTATGATGGGTTGACGGTTATGTCTGTGAGAATCTGATTTTTCTCATGGGTGCAGTTTGGTAGCACCATATTGCTCGTTACTATGAGTGGGATAGTAGAGTCCTGGACTGCAGGCATACCAAACATTCGATATCAATTACTGTTGTGTAGGGCAAATGAAAAAAATAATAGCTCATTATTATTCCTTCAGAAAAGCGAGGTTGCCCATTTTCTACACGTGATTGGTCAAGAACTAGAAAAGAAGCTAAAACAGGCAAGAATGGTCACCAGCTCGGTCACTCTAAAACTCATGGTGAGTCTCTCAGAAGTTTATAAACGCAAAAACGCAGTCACAATTTTTACCTGAGATTGCGTCACACCTTCAGTCCCCAAAAATTGATTGCGGTACACTCATATTCGGGATGACTTGTACAAATGAATAGGCGGAGGATTGCCATGTATCCGCAGACCGGTTTATGCTCTCAATCTATATCTATAAAATCAATCTATATCTGCGGATGTAAGGTTTGGTTGAGTTGGAGCAAGATTTGATTTGAAAGTATTGGCACTTGCCACTATACCGCCTCTACATGTGTCTTTTGTGTTCCAGAACGGTCCTTGTACAGGAGGGGGGGGGAGACAAAAAAAGACATTTGCTCATGTCCCAATTCGACCCTTTTCTTCTTTGCAGAGATTGCCGTCGTTGACGGAAGTTCCTCAGCAAAGTATTCCCTAAAATGTCCTCTATAAGTAGACGCAGGCCCCTTCAGAATATCCGTCATCTGTCACCGTCGTCAGGCTCAAGGAGGTCTACCGTAAGAGCTTCAGCCTGAAGCTCTTACGCAATTTCGTGAATCGATTTAATGTTGGATAGTTTTCTAGAGGCATTAGCTCCCACTGTGCAAATCCCCGCTTTTCAGTAAAGGTCGTTATGGTACACGATCCTTCGAAGACCCCATTGAGCTCGACCAGTGCACCATGTTTCCGGGGCAAATTCTTCTGATGCCGTCCACGTAGGTGGCCACTATGAAGATTTTCTTATAGAATGAAATGCGCTCTTCAATAATAAGTTGGAACCATTCGGTTTGAATTGAGCAAAGTGTGATTAAATCCATCTGGAAGTGGAGACAAAATGTTTTTTTTATTGCCCCCCCCTGTATATTACTTGGTTCGACAGGCCCAACGACGGCCGTCAGTTGATTACACGTAGAAAGGGCGCTGGGTGTTAGAACGTACAGCCATGGGTGTTTGGTGAAAGAACGTCTGTCGTTTCCTCACCTCAACGCTCGATGTTACTCGACTCCTTGAACGTTCGGAAAGAGGAGGACTTTATTTTTCAGCGTTTTTCATGGTTGCCTACCTACCACTGGGTATAATACTCGAATTGCATGTTCATGACGGAGCGCGCTCATAAATTTCATACCTATTCACAGGAATGTGCAAATGACATAGTCGTAAGTCGCCGCGCACCGCATGTTGCTCTCTAAGTGAATCCCTCATCACCTCTAAAAAATAATCCACTTCTTATCAATGATTTGGACCGAATTTCTGTAACGATCAAAGAGTTACCAGAATATCATTCTGCTTATGGTTGCTGTCATCTGCTTATCACCATTCGCTAGCTCATACTATACTAAATACGAAGGAAGTGAAGAATTGCCGCATCCTCAGTGGAAGCACATTGGCGCCCACTTCTTGTCGTTACTATGCAAGGACTGTAGTAAACGGGTCTCATTACTTTTCCTGTATTCTGAACAGACTTTTAATAATAGTTCTTCAAGAGGTGTTTTATCTCTTGTATTAAAGCAGTGTCGTTATCTTGACTGTAGTTCACAGTATGTGATCCAAATGAATTCCTATTAGTCCCGCCACCGAGTTCTAATAGGATTCAGATTTTTATGTCTCCTATGACAACAACAATAGGATTAAGATTTTTATTTCTGGGCGGAAGTGGTGTAGTGGCAAGTGGCACGCTTACCACGCGAGCGGTCCGGGGATCAAATCCTGGGTCGTGAGTCGCCCGGGCCAACCAAGCCTTCCATCCCTCCGGGGTCGGTTAATTGGTACCAGACTTGTCTGGGAGGATAAAAACACTGACTTGTACATCGGCTGGCCCCCGCAAGTCATTGTATAGGCCACATCGCATTCAAACGCCACTACGAATGTACAAATGGAAGTAGAATGCGTGCCGCATCCCAAAAAGGGATTGATCAACGGCAAATGCTTTATCCTTTTTATTTATGACAACAACTGATATCGGTGCAGATCCAATCAAACCGGTACTTCATGAAGGATAAAAGATAGGAGCATTCGGCGTTGGACAATCCCTTTTGGGATGCGGCCACGCATTCTACTTCTGTTCAGAATCGTAGTAGCATTTTGAATGCGATTGGCCTATACAATGACTTAAGGGGCCAGCCGATGTTCAAGTCAGCGTTTTCATCTTCTCAGACAAATTGGTATCAACTAACGTCTCTGTTGGAGTGGTTGGCTTGAACGGCGCAAGATCTAACATTTGGTCCGTGAACGGTGCGGGCGTGGTAGCAGCGCCACTTGCCATATCCACTTCTGCCCTCCCGTTGTTATAGCATATG